ATAATGCTGAGGTTTCATCTTTGGGTAGAGACTCAATATATCCATCTGCAGTGTGACTTCAATCCACCGGCATGTTTGTGTGTGTGTGTGTGTGTCTCTGGGTTTCTGCGTCAGAGGGCGGGGCCTCAGGTTTGAAATCTCCCGGGTTTGCGCGTCCACGTGAATAACTTGGTTTCGTTCGTACGTCATGGCGAAACACCTAATGAATCGGTATCAAGGCGACTCGTTTGAAGCACTATGAGTCGACTCTTTTATAGATGAATCAACCGTTTTAAACACTGTATTCTTACAGATTTAAGCCTTAGCTGGATACTTCACTTCACTTGGAGCTGTGTTACACACTACATGGAGGGGAATTTTCAAAAACCCATAATATGGGCTCTTTAAGGTATGCGCTAATCAAGTAACTTTAACTACGACCTGAGAAATGTATTTATTAACACTTTAGTTTAAGCTAAATGTAACCCACTCTATAAGAATAAAGATTCAATTAAAGTGAACTTTGACCAGCATGAACTCATGACCTCTTAATGCATCATTTTGTCATAATTTTACTTGGAGGGCCACGATATTATATTTTTTATTGAGTAGACTCCTTTACACCTGTGGATTATTGACCACCGGCGTTATAAAAGTTCATGCTGCAGCACTTCAGTGACAGGATTTCATTCATTCATTTATTTTCTTTTCGGCTTAGTCCCTTAATTAATCCGGGGTCGCCACAGCAGAATTAACCGCCAACTTATCCAGCATATGTTTTTATGAAACGGATGCCCTTCCAGACGCAACCCATCATAGGGAAACCAATACACACTTATTCACATACATACATACATACACTACGGACAATTTAGCTTACCCAATTCACCTGTACTGCATGTCTTTGGACTGTGGGGGAAACTGGAGCACCCGGAGGAAACCCACGCAAACGCAGGGAGAACATGCAAACTCCACACAGAAACGCCAGCTGACCCAGCTGAGGCTCAAACCAGCGACCTTCTTGCTGTGAGGTGACAGCACTACCTACTGTGCCACTGCGTCGCCGTGACAGGGAGTTTAAGCCTGATTTATACTTCTGCATCAAGCACATGCGTATGCTACCGTGCAGCCTACACGTGGACACATAGCCCTTGCCGTGGCCCTTACGCGCACCTCTTAAAAAATTTAACTACACGTCGCAACGTTGCTTAGCTCAAGCTCTGTGATTAGTCGGCTTCGTGGCACTGATGAGTATGAGCAGGGCTGAGAGCTGCACGAGTCCATTGGAGTGAGTGTTTACAATTGTTGAGTCCTGTGAAGGAGCTCCACATAAAAAGTTTTGTTTTGTGTTTACCTTATGGTTAAAGTTGTTGCACATCTGCCTGTTCCTGCCTCAAAATAAGCAAGTTTGAACCACTTGTACATTAAGGAAGGGTTCATAAAACACACAAAAAAAAAAACAGCGAAGAAATTGCCCTCTAGCGTTTCAAAAGTGTTATTGCAGAGCAACAGAAACAACGCACAGAAGTGTGAATGCACAGCTCCATTCGGTGTTTAGCCTTAGTTTATTTATGTTTTTTTTTTTCCCACACTTTGTTTAATTTTGGTTGTTCTGTTAATAAAACCCATAGAATGATCCATTTGTGTTTTCCCTCATTTGATGTTGGGACCGTGGTCGTAACAATTGCAGTTGAAGTTACATTGTTCCACCATCAGGGAGCAACAGAGCCTTAAGCCTGGTTTATACTTCTACGTCAAGTGATTGGCGTGAACCATGGTGCATGCAATGCGCGTAGCTGTGCATTCATGCACGCTGTTTCTGTTGCTCTGCAATTACACTTACGAAATGCTACAAGTAAAAATCAGCCTTTAGGAGTCCATCATAAAGACTGTTAAGACCCTTTCACACCCACCATGATAACTAAAAAGATAACGATAAAGACAGCATTCTAAAATTGTTCTAAATGTAAATCAACAGCAGAGTCAAGATCTCAAATATAATGACAAAGATGTAGAGACATGATATATAAATAGGGCCTGCACAATTTAATGCTACAGATGACATAATCAAGAAGAAACTCTGCTTGATGCTAAGCCCTATTTTCAAAAGTTATTTAAATATAATGACTATCAAGAAAAAAAAATTCTAATATTATTGGGGGGAAAAAATCCAAGAAAGATTACTAAATGAAAGTTTAAAAATACAAATACACCAGTGGTATCTTTGTTGTCTATATTGTACTTGGTTCGGTTTTAATTTGACTGTTTTTACTTTGAACTTACATCTGCTTGTTAAACTTGATTAGACAGATTACACAAGCTGGATTCACTGGTCAGAAGCACTAGTAGTTTACTGTACAAGGACATCTGCTAGTTATAAGGGGGTAATGCTGAAAGCGACAATAAACAGATTTTTATCATTTGTGTCTCATATTTATGATTATATTTAGAGTTTCTTTGTGTGAATGGGCCTTTATTATGTTAAGAGCCAAAAGCATGTTTGTTATTGGAAATCCCATTAACAGTTAAAGAGTGTATCCTTTGCAGACATTCACACTTAATGTGATAATAATCAGAAGATGAATTCATTTGGAAAGGTAGCTAAATTACATTCTCTTAGTAAATCTTTTTATTGCATAAAATTGTAGCACTAAAGTAAAACACTGTACTGTATTAAATTGTAATTTTCTTCACTTTGGCATTTATGGGGTTAAACATGGCAAATTCCTGGATACAGAAGTGTGGAGATTTGAAACTGAGGCAGGCAAAAGTATCTCCTCTCACAAATTTTAAGAATTCTCCATGTTTTTTTAATTATTTTTTATTATGTATTTATGCAGTTGCATTTGTGTTGATTAATTTTTGTCAAAATGACACCTATCCGTGTGATATGGCTTTGTATCACTGTGTATTTACCATGGTTGCATAGTTACACATGTGATATTATTTATTTATAGATAAGTGTCTCCCAAGCAACCAAGGCACCACATAGTACTCTACAAAGCACTGTAGTGATATTAGTGGTCTCACATGTGGCACCATAACTGCAGTGATATTATTGGTCTCAAATATATTAACAGTGAAAAAAATGTTACGATTGATGGGCGGCACAGTGCCTTACAGTAAGAAGGTTACTGGGTCAGTTGGTGTTGTGTGTAGTTTGTATGTTCTTCCCGTGTTTGTGTTGGTATTCTCCGGGTGCTCATGAATGATGAAATGAAAATGAATGATGAATATTAAGATTTCTATTCACCCTCATTTAAGGTGAGTGTCAGATGATTAGTTGCTTATTTTAAAATGGTGTGGCAGAATTGTGCCTTGCTTTAAATGATAATTAAAGATTGTTGAAATAAAGATGCCATTTAAGATGCCATTTCACAAGTTGTGGTCAATAAACAAGGAAAACAAAAGACTAATGGTTCATTCTGTGATCAGTGGAAGTGATGTCCTCATCTTGCAATCATCATCTGATAAGCTTAAATTCAAAGGGTTAAGTGTTACTTCAACCCCCGTTTAAATTTCCATTTGTTCATCTTAGATAAGAGCATAAGTTCATGTTCCAATGAACCAAAACTTAATTCCATGTTCATGTGTGTGAATGTCTGACTCTCTGTATCTATGTGAAGTTTATAAACATGCTTTGGAAATGAAATCATTTGGAATAAAATCTGTGAGAATACTCAGCATTAACACTGTGATAGTGATTCATGTGTTTTCGTATTAGTAACACAGATTAGGGAAAATCCACCATGGCAGCACTTGCAAAATAAAAGGAAATACGTTTGGGTGGCCCATATTTTTTAGGGCAACATGGAACATTCTTTTTGTAGCATACTGATAATTCCACAACGTCTGCTTTGATGTCTTGTCATATTCCTGTAATTTTCCTTGACTCAGCAGAGAGCAAAATATGTTTTCGAGTGAGTAAGCTGTGATCTTTGGCACAGTGGAAAATGTTGTACCTGTAATTGGTTACTTATGTCCTTTGAGGTCGTTTTATTTTATTAGCGTATAATATGGTGCAAACTTTTCAATTATTTTAGAATTGCGACATTTAAACTCAGAATTACAGAAAAAAATGTACCATCGTATTTATTTTTATCTATCCCTTTATCGACTTTAGAATTCATCGTTTGTTTGTTCGTTTATTCGTTAGTTCATAAATTTATCTGTTAATTTTACCTCAAAATTACAGAAAATAGTTACTATTGTCTTTATTTTTATCCATCCCTTTATCGAATTTAGAATTTATCGTTCATTGATTCGTTCTTTTATTCATTTGTTCGTTCATTCTCTCATTCATAATTTCTTAAATTCTTCTATTAATTTTAACTAGGAATAACAGAAAATAGTTTGTTTGTTTGTTTGTTTATTCGTTCTTTCATTTATACAAACATTCATCCATTCATTTTAACTCAGAATTACAAAAAATTGTTCCTATTGTCTTTATTTTTATCCATCCCTTTAACGACTTTAGAATTCATTGATCATTCATTCATTCATTCGTTTGTTAGTTTGTTCATTCGTCATTTGTTTGTTCTTTCATTCATTCGTTTGTTCGTTCATTCATTCATTCATTCATTCATTCATTCATTCATTCATTCATTCATTCATTCATTCATTCATTCATTCTGTGAAAGATATGGACTTCCATATTTTAAAATCTCCTACAGATGTTAATGATTGTTTATGGCATTTTATGAGTATGTGCACATATGGTTTACCTCAAAACTAAATGTTTTGCTTTTGGTTCTGTTCTGTACCAAACTTCAGAACTACCGCTACATATAGTCAAACAATCGTTGACTCTTTTTTTTTTTTTTTTTATATAGTCACATCATCTAAACGCCCACAGATCCTTGTTTACGCACTCAAATACCCACAAACTTCCTGCCCCTTTAAAGAGCAGCACAAGGGTGGGGCCCCAAACCAGCACTTCCCCACCAACTCATTTCCAAATAATGTGCGAGAGTACATGAGAGCTTTTGTGCAAGGCAGAGCAGTTAACGGCTGACTGTAAAAGGGATAACCAGATAGATATGAGGAGGCAGAAAGGAATCTGACCAAAAAAAACATCCCATCTGTTTAAAAGCAAACGGGGAAACGCTTCAGTGTGACGAGGAGAAACACACATATCTCTGACAAATCTTCAAGGTCAACGGTAAGACATTTTGTATGAATTCATTACTTCTGATTGTCAATAAAACATAACCCTTAAGTTAACAGTATTACAGTGTACCTAATTATAATTCTTAAAGAGTAGTTAGTATTAATAGTAAATGCACAACAAACATGTCTTTACAACATGTTTTGCTAAATCAGAATTGGCTGAAATTAAAATGGCTATTTTCTAAAAAACAAAATGCTGTGAATAATAGTTGGAAGCAGACAGTTAAATGTGCCAGCTCTCACAGAGTGTAGCTTGGTTTTACTGGAACAGATTATAAAGTCATGAAGTTTTGTTCCATGTGGTTTTCAGTATTGTCCTGACCTAAAACTGTATGCTTGTATACTTATTTACTTCTATTAAATGTTTATGAAAGGAGACTAGTGTTTACCAATTTATTAGTATTTCTTTCCCTGTATGAAAAAGAGAGGTGAGTAGACAAATGCAATTGTCATCATCCTAATCAGGTGCATTTCCTGTTAAGAACATCTGTGCCTGTATAGCAAAGTAGTGCTGTATACTCTAATTTCCAGCACTCTCTTTAAAGTACAGTAATCTGTCACTTTACAGGTAACACTTTATTTTGATGGTCCATTTGAGTATTAGTAGACTGCCTGCCTAATATACATGTATGTTGATACTGCTGCTATACAGATATTTAATTGCAAGTACATGTAAGTACACTTATAATTTTATGATAATTAGTTGGCATGTAAATGCAATGTAACTTAAATTCAACAAACGGACCATCAAAATAAAGTGTGACCAGTTTCCAAATAATAAAATGTTGGAAGGTCAAAGAGTAGTACTAATATTTTTGCATAGGCTTAGACAGCAAAAAGTCAAATGTAAAGATGTTAAATAAAGTATTGTTTTCAAATCCAGTCAACATTTAGAATTCATTCATTCATTTTCTTGTCTGCTTAGTCCCTTTATTAATCCGGGGTCGCCACAGCTGAATAAACCGCCGACTTATGCAGTAAGTTTTTACGCAGCGGATGCCCTTCCAGCTGCAACCTATCTCTGGGAAAACATTCAGAATTAGTAAAAGTATTTTTTTTTTACTTTTATTAACACTGAATCAGCCAATATTATCATCTTTGTGAAGTCGAAGATGAGTTTTGATAAACTAAAACAATTCAAGTAAAATTTTAAAAAGAGATATTGAGTGAACATTAAAAAAATACATTGTAACTGCTCACTAAATAAATGCAGAAGTTGTTTAAACTTTTTACAGTGCATAAGTAAACTAGACAATTATGTCTTAAACCAAAATTCTGAATATCTAAGATAAGAAGGATGTAAAAGTGTGAGAAAAGCCTAAATGTGGTTGCAAAACCACTGTAGGTTATTTACAGAACCAAAACTTGTGTGATATGGGTGGAGGAATACCATAACAGGAAGGTTACCCAAGAGGCTTTGTCACAAATAGTCAACCACCCATCTTTTTCCCTCTGTGTGTGAACATTTGCAGTGTGTCAAATTTAGGCTTTTGTGTGGCTCTCAATGTTTATAAGTACTACTTCTGTAAAGTATTACAAATGCTATAATTTCTGCTGTCTTTGTAGGAATCAATGGACCTGGCGTTGTTTGTGATTATTGGCATGTGTGCCATGAAAGCTGTTGCTTCCTCATGTCCAGAAAGCTGCCAGTGCCAAGTGACCAAAATTGTCTGTCAAGGATTTTCAGTGAAAGAAATTCCACTCCCCATGCCCCCAACCATCAACGCTCTTGTTATCTCCAACACCAGCATTCAATCATTAAAACCATCGGATTTTCAGACTTTCGCTGAGACGCTTACACTGTTTGTAGCCAAAAATTCGAATATAACAGAGGTGGAACCTCATACATTTGATCAAGCTTTCAATCTCAATGTCTTAGGTTTCAGTGGGACGATGCTAACCTCTCTACCAGACAACCTGTTTCAGAATCTAACTGCATTAACAACTTTAACACTGAGTGGCAACAAACTAGAAGTTTTGCCATCATCTCTTCTTACTCCACTTGTAAATGTGAACAAATTAGACCTTAGCAAAAACCTTCTCAGCTCTCTGTCAGAAGATGCTTTTAGGGGTTTAGACCAACTAGAAATGCTCATGTTGCAGAGAAACTCAATCAAACAGCTTCACAGCAGCACTTTTCAGGGGCTCAGTCATCTCAGGTCCCTGTTTTTACAGCAAAATGAATTAACGGATATACCAGCAGGCTTATTTGATGATTTGGTGAACCTTGAGGTATTGCATCTACAAGACAACAAAATCGAGCAATTGCCGGCAAATCTTTTCGCAAAAGTGCAGAAGCTAAAGAAACTCTACCTCTCCAGCAATAGGTTATCATTGCTTCCCAGTGGAATCTTTCTGAATCTTCCCAACCTTACTCATTTTTCACTGTACGACAACCGACTCAGTAGGCTAATGCCTGAGACTTTTGGCCCAATGGCCCTTCAAGAGCTTTGGCTGTATGACAACTTGTTAACCCACCTCGAGGAGAATGTGTTCAGCAATTTAACCAACATACGTCTTTTGGTAATCAGTAGGAACCGAATTCAGTACATCTCTCCCGGTGCATTCAATGGCCTGATAGAGCTTAAGGAGGTTTCCCTTCACACCAATCGATTAACCAATATTGAACCTGGGATTTTCAGAGGCCTTCCAAACTTAGCGAATATATCTATAGAGAACAATCAAATAAAGCAGATACCCATACAACTGTTAGATGGTGTGTCCCGTTTGTCTCTTCTGGAGATGCAAAACAATTCTCTACAAAACTTGCCCAAAGACTTTCTGAACACTTTGTCTATTGTTGAGAATGTTATTCTTCATGAAAATCCCTGGAGGTGTGATCAGGACATAATACCTTTTTGGGATTGGCTTTCACAGCATTCAGAGAAAGTGAAGAACCTTTCCCTCGTGATGTGCTCTTCTCCTCCACCCCTGAATGGTAGAATTGTGAGAGAGCTGATAGAGGATGACATCATGGTCCAAGAAATGACAACTATGACAACGGTTGATACTTCATCACATAACACACCCGCAAGTACAACCAAAAGGCCACCAGATTCAAACTTCACAACAATCTCAGATGAGAAAGAAGACCAAAGTGGAGGTGATGCTGCGGGTCAAGGTCTGTCCAAAGAAAAACTCATTATCATAGTTGCTATCATTTGTACTGCTGTCGTTGTTAGTCTCATCTCCTGTGTGTTATGGAGGAAGAACAAGCGAGGTAGTGAAAACTTAGACCGTCATAGAAAGACAAATGCAGTTATTTAGCATTATCTAAAGGCTCAATGTGTTGTTTTATTATCTCTGTCTGTTTAAATAATGAGCATTGTCATTTTAACAGCTGTATTTTCTTTGGAAATTTTCTTTCTTTGTAACATTTTTTTTCTGTCCTGCATGCATAGTTGAGCTTACTTACAGTTTGACTGAAAAAAAAAAAAAATCAATGTTGATTGTATGATTTATTGATCATGATTTAATGAATTGTGTCATAATGTAAAGAAATGTACTGTATTGTGTGCAAATGACTGCACACATTCTGCAAATTTGAGTTAAATAAATATGTTTCTTCATGACAAATTTTAATTTTCAAATATTTTTTTATTAACCTAATTTGGGTGTTGACAACATTATATTATGGGATTGACTTTGACTGAGCTATTTAATGTTAAGCAGTAATCATGCATAACTATCAGGCCCGGATTGGCTAATCGGGAGGACCGGGAGAATTACCGGTGGGCCGGTCCGTTTTTTGGCCGCGAGGGCCGGTGTCCCTAGCTCCAGAACTCATAACTCCATAACTCATATGAGTCACTTTTCCTTTTTCAACTGTTGTGGTCCAGTGGTTAGCATGTTAGATTACAACGCCGCTGACCCGGGTTTGATCCTCGTCTGTGTATGTTTTTTTATTTTCTTTTTTATTGTTAAGACATATAATACTGTTTGGGTTGTTGAACATTTGAAGTTCTAAAGCAGCTGTTTTCTCAAAAAAAGACGTGATAGTGTAATTAGAAACTGAATTGGAATGACCTTATTTTAATATAGTCAGTCGTGAACTGAGGTGGGCCGGTCTGAGGCTTGAAACTCCAGGGCTGAAAAGGAGTCCCACTCCGGCCCTGATAACTATGCACTGTAAGACAACAAGAAAACACAAACTGCATATATTCAAACATATACATAAATACACATACAGTGCTCAGCATATATCAGTACACCGTATTTTGAAAATGATTTTTTTTTTATCAATTGATCTGTGAATTCAGGTAAAATATGTTGGTGCATTTGAACAAAACAGGTTTAATAACAATATTTTTATTAAAATACCATTTTAGTCACAGGACAGTATGAGAAATAGAAAGATAAAACATTTAAATTCAAGTGAAAGAAAATATATACAGTAGCAATCAGTATAATTTAACCCCTTTGAATTTGTTTTTCTTTTTTATCTCCTGTAGAAGGTCTTATTTGTTTAATTTCAGCTAGAATAAAAAAAGTAGTTTTTAATTTAAAAAAAAATATTTTAAGGTCAAAATTATTAGCCCCTTTAAGCTGTATTTTTTGATAGTCTACAGAACAAACCATCGTTATACAATGATTGCCTAATAACCCTAGCCTGCCTAGTTAACCTTATTATCCTAGTTAAGCCTTTATACTGTATGTCACTTTAAGCTGTATAGAAGTGTCTTGAAAATATCTAGTAAAATATTATTTACTGTCATCATGGCAAAGATAAAATAAATCAGTTATTACAAATGAGTAATTAAAACTATTATGCTTGGAAAAGTGTTAAAAATATTCTATATTAAAAGAAAATATTCTCTCCCTTAAATATAAATTGGGGAAAAAAGTAAACAGGGGTCTAACAATTCAAGGGGGTTGATAATTCTGATTGCAACCGTATATTTTAAAAGTTATTTGTTTCTCTTGAATTTTCCTTTTTTTTCATTAGTTTTTATTTGATATATTTTCCTAACATGTACATTTGGGTGTACTAATTACTTATTTCATTAGATTAGCTCCAAATTTGGCTTCAGTACTAACTAAACTAATGTGCAGTATATGCACATACAGTAGAATATTGAATTCCCTAAATAAGTGAGGGAACTTTTGAAAGTGAGTTTGATGATTTTAGTTTCTTATCTCTTTAAACAGAAACACACTTTCCACACCCGTTCTGCTGCCCAACAGCCACACGAGTAAACACTTGGGATGTATAGATAAGAGTAATGCACTACGCACTTTTATTTGCTCTTGGTAACATCTTTCTAGATGGACATTCAGGTCCAACAGAGATGAGCAGGTAGGAATAACTTTTTATTTGATATTTCCAATTGATCTATTTTCTCATTTCTGTAAAAAAAAAGAAGTTGAAAGCGGATCAGAATGTCAATCAATAATAAATGTTTACCTGGATTAAAGTTCTTCTATCGTGTTTAAATTGTATGATTTGTGTCACAAAGTCTGCAAAATCAAAACACATCAGATATGCCAGATCTGCTGTTTCTGGAAAAAAAAAATCTATATATTTATTTTATAATTGTAGTTTCTGTACTTCTCAACAAATGCTTGTACACCTAATCTTTATTAGCTCAGCTTTTTATGCACTGTATTGGTCATTATTATGAAAAACAGGATCAGCTTTCTTTAATGCTGCCTTCATATGTTATCATAAATTTCTCATTTCCCACATATAAAGTTGTGATATGGACTTGTTGCATGTTGTCAGAAAGAATACAAGTGTCATCATATTCATAGTAATTAAATATTCATCACACACATTTCAACTTCCTGATTCTTCTGGTATTTATTATTTTGGTATTTTGAATCAAATACATGCTAATTTTACTGTTTAAAAATCATAAAATAAATCCCAAGTGGTTATTCATATATGTAAATATGTACTGCCTCATAAAAAATAGATATCTTGTGGAAGAAAAACTTAGAAGGGACAAAAAATATATTGTAGAAATCTTTCTGTCCTTCAACATGTTAAAACTGATGACACTTCCAACAATGTCAACATTTCCCAGATGCAATTTTATACACATCAAATTCAATTGTATGATAAATCTGACAGCATTTGAAATCTGCATAATTTGATTTAATGAATTTTATAGCCAATTGGTAAATCATAGGAGTGTATTGATTCAAGTACAAGGGCATTTAATATTAAGTAATTACATTACTTACCCTTTTCACAAGGTGGTACCGGTAAATATATGGAAAATATCTGGAATGACTTTATTGGTAACTTTAAAAAAGCCTGTTCACACAGGCAAGAAGATTCCACAATTTTTTTTTTTTTTTTTTCGGAAAAAAACATTCACACATCCATTCCAAAATTACCAGTAAAATCTGACATCATCAACAAGAAATGACCTCTGAACGACTGCACTTGTATTTGTAAATGGGGTCAGGCTTTTGTTGATGATTTCACTTTTATCTAAAGCTTTAGCATGCAGCTGCTTTGACCCAGACACATCCAAAGGCAGAAGTGAGAACTGCAGCTAAATGTTTACACATTTGACTTCATTACAAATTCTGTGGATGAATAAGTATTGTAAACAACTTCGATGTATACATATGAAGAAACACTTTCGCATGCCGAGATGTACATAATATGTGTGTAGAGCTTTCAGATAAACTCGTATCAGTATATCATAAGCATTTTATCAATAGTTCTTTACACAGTTGGCGTTCAGAAGGAACATACATTATTTGACTAACAACTAGCAGCTAAATGTGTCTGGAAAAAAATATTCAAAGGCTTTTATTTTCATAATCAGCGTGGATGTGAATGCGTCTGAGTGTTCTGATTGGCTGGAGTAGACATCTCATGTCAGAACGTTCTAAACGTGAATGCACTCTTTCCAGAAACTTTCCTTCTGCGTTCACACTGAGCAGCATTCCGGCAAATTACCGGATGTTACAACTTCTATTTCTCAAAAATCGTCAAACTAATTTAATGGTGTTTTCAAAAAGGGCCTGTTCACACATAATCGCTTCCAGAAATTTGCCAGTAATTTGTGGGAAAGGTGTATATGTGTGAAAAGGCCTGCAGTTAATTATTGGCATGTCATGTAAAATATAGCATTTAAGTCATATTCTAGTGAATGATGATTGTTTTCAAAACCTTTTAAAATTGCAAAAAGATTTTTAGTACACTGCTGTCACATTAATGCAAGTTAGGTTTAATTCTGTACAAGTTGCTTTGGTTTGGAATTTTTAACTGAATTTGTTGTTTTGTTTGACAGCATGGATTTACAAAGTGCACAGGTATTCTTTTTCATACTCGTGCACTTGCACTGGAGCCACACAACAGATATATGTGCACCAGGCGAAGACTGCAAAAATAAAGAAGTGTTTGACAAATCAGTGACAACGATCCCTGAAAATCTGAAAGATGGAGCAGATGAAATATTTTTTGTAAACAGTAAGATTGATATCATACCAAAAGGAGCTTTTTCTAAAAATCCTCAAATAAAGAAACTGGAATTTCTCGGTACTTCGACTGAGTCTGTAGAGGTCGGAGCTTTTGAGGGTTTACCTGATATCGCCACCATTGAGATATCTAGCACAAACGTGACATCATTACCTGTTGGTGTTTTTAAGGATCTCGTCAACCTTCAAAGACTTGTTTTAAAAAGCAACAAAATCAACATCCTTGAAAAGGGGTTATTTGACGATCTAACCCAGCTCCAAGAATTATTTCTGCATATGAATGAGATCACCGCGATCGAGGAGGGGACATTTGACAATTTAGAGAATCTCAGACTTCTACATCTTGCAAAAAACAACCTCAACTCCGTATCAACATCTCTCTTTTCCAAACTCAAGAGCTTACGCATTTTCAGGCTTTATGAGAATCTGCTGACTGCAATGCCTGATGGGATTTTTGATAGTCTTTCTGATCTGACAGAGATAGCCTTGCAAGGCAACCAAATCTCGTCCTTACAACCAAATTTGTTTCCACACAAAAGCAAAATAGTAAAACTCTTTTTGGACCATAATCTTTTGACAGAGTTGGAGCAAGAGCTATTTGTAGGTTTCATTTCATTGAAAAGTTTAACTCTGCACAACAATCAACTCACCAGCCTTCCCAATGTTCTTTTTGGAGAAATGCCCAAATTGACTGAATTGAGTTTAAACCATAACAATCTCACACACTTACCACCGGGAGTTTTCAGCCCACTTAAGAAGCTCAAAAAGTTAGACCTTTCTTCAAACCATTTCTCGATGATATCTGGAGACTTTTTTGAGGGTCTTGAGAAACTGGCTGATCTGAATCTTCAAAATAACTATATAAAGTCATTAAAACAAGAAGACTTTGACAAACTTCCGCTCCTTTCAATACTCAGACTGGAACACAATAAACTACAAAATCTTCCTGCAGATGTTTTTGACTCTCATCCAAAACTCAGTAAACTCTACCTGAACAACAACCCATGGCAGTGTGATTGTAACCTGTTGCCATTCTTTGAATGGCTGAAGGACAATGAAGACAAGGTTAAATCAAAACCTCCACTCTGTGAGTCGCCAAATCATCTGCTAAATCAACCAATCCCCTCTTTTGAAGAAAA